ATAGCACAAATCTAAGGCTTTTGAAGCAGTTTTAATTAATTTTGTAGGCGTATTACAGATATCACATGTACCTATACAAAACGAGACTCTTTTTAATACGTTTTTATTAGTTTCAGACGTATGTATGTTGGTATGTAACGGAATCTTTGAACATGATTTTGACCCCCTTCAAAACGTCGGATTAACTCGAAATTTGGTATAATTATTAAGGACCGATGACAATTCAATATTAACAAAAAATATATTGAAAAAATTGAAATTTAACGAAAAAATGATTTTATTGTAAAAAAAAGCGTGGGGTGAATGCTATCAGTAGTTATAAATATTTTATGAACAGATATGAGTAGAAGGGTTCTTTTGATAATATCCTGAAAAGCACCCCACGCTTTTTTACAATAAAATATGTTTTTTTTACACTATTTTTAATTCAAATTTATTGAAATTTTTGACCATACTTATTTGTTTACTTTATTTAAGTGTGTATGGGTCTATCATCAGATGAGCTTTAAGTGACTGGTCCATCACGTTAGGGTCACCAGTGAAGTGTTGATGGATAGTCCCCAGCCGTTTGCGGTTTGGACGGAAGAAGAAGACCAGTCAATTTCCTTATCCTGCCCTTCTCCCAGTAACCTGGCGTCGGCGCAACATGTTTTCTCCTTCCATACTCCTCTATCATATGGTAGGTATATACCATTTCTTCGCTTAGAGCAACATGAAAACTAATTGACAATACTATTGACTGGTAATAAAATTAAATGGCAATAATATTGGCTGTTAATAAAAGGTCAGGTGAGATGCGTTTAGTCGTATACTTACTTGTACAAGTATTCAAGTACTTACAAGTACCTACATACAACGCGAACCCTAATTGTTGGGTGATCTTTAATTTTACTTTGATCTGATCGCTACCAAACAGACAGATCTACCGTTAGGCCAATCTGAAATGTACCTGAAAATTTCATTGAAATGGGTCCAGCGCTTTGGTCTCTAACGGGATACATCGACATTTTCCTCCCGATCCATTAACGGTGCTTTTAGGTACCTCAAGCACCGGTCATAGTTCTCGTCGAGCCCGTCGCTTGCGACGAAGGGCTCGACGAGTAAATTAACTCTCAGACACAGCCCACTGAGTTTCTCGCTGGATCTTCTCAGTGGGTCGCGTTTCCGATCCGATGGTAGATTCTGCGAAGCACGGCTCTTGGTAGGGTTCGTGTTAGCAACGTCGTCAGGTTTGAGCCCCGTGAGCTCACCTACTAGTTAAGGTTACGCTGGAATAGCCTCTCAAGGCTACCAGCGTAGGTAGGAAAAAAAATAACGAAATTTATATCGACAGATATGACTTTTGTCTATGACTCCAACGTAATTATGACTTCAAAATAATGTCCCAATATTAACGCCATAATTGTTTAGTTATTGTTTATGTCTATAGGTTTCGGCAACCATATAAGAATTGTTGAGGTCTTTGTACCATAAACCAAACCTAAGGAAATTTTATATTTTTGACAAATAACTTTGCTTCCGACTGTACTGAGCTATTCACGTGTTCTACAGTTACTTAATATATTAATTAAGCACGTCACATAGATGATGTTTCAAACAGAGCTCCATATTGGATTTAGGTACTTGTCTGAATTCGGACAACTTGTGTACAAGAACAGTTTGGAACGCAAATGAAGACATGAGTGGATGAAGGGGTTAAGTACCATTTTTAAGATTTTTGCGTTTTTAAATTGAATTAAGGTGCTATGTGCCTATAAACCATACTAGACCTTAAAACTTTAATGGTTTAAAGGCTATTTTTAGAAAATGTATGTGATGAAGGAGTTATTTACGAAGAAAAAGTATAAGTAAGCAAAGTTCGTAGCCAGTTTTCTCAAAACCTACAAATTGTATCATATCCCCTTCATCCATTCTTCATGTCTTCAATTGTTCCTGTATATGAATGTACAGTGAAGCACAAAAATAAAAAAGACGAATAAAAAGAAAAAAAACTAGCACATAATTTGCTAAGCTACGCCGTCGCAGTCATAAATCTGATCTAGGTTGGTTTTGTTATTTGTGACAGGTAAGTGATGGGATTTAGGTTTTTTCCTCACTAGCAAAAAAAAGACAATTTTTCCTGTTTTTAGTTAACTAAGACGGGTAGATGAGTTTGCTTTCACCTGGTGCTGCGTCTATTAATTAGAAGTACGGATGTAATCCCTGGTCGGATTTAAATTCAAAATAAAAGTCTCATATAATAATGTTATTGATAAAAAAAAACTACAACAATTAATCTTCAATATTATATCAAAATTGTATTGTTGTTAATAGTATTTAAATACAGTTTAGTCTAGCGGTGTTATTGTTTCCGGATTTTTGAGTTTTTATTTTTATTTTTATTTATTGCTTATATGGGTGAACGAGCTCACAGCCCACCTGGTTTTAAGTGGTTACTGGAGCCCATAGACATCCACAACGTAAATGCACCACCCACCTTGAGATATAAGTTCTAAGGTCTCAAGTATAGTTAGTCGCGCTCCCGATTCCGTTCCCGTCACGAGGACTGTGGTGGATTGGCACACGCTGGGCATTAGCCTGGCTGAATCTGATCCACCATCGCTCCCGTTTAGCCCGGACTCTACCCCGTCTCCTCAGGATACCGCTGAAGCCATAGACATCGTAACGTCACACATCACCTCGACATTAGATAGGTAATCGAAGCAAGTTGTGGCGGAGGACTTCCTTCACCGCTTCAAACTGCCCGACGATATTAGGGAGCTAAGAACGCCTCGATCCGCGCCTACGATAGCTATCCTACAGTGGAAAATCGTACTCGAATGCGTGCAACGCGACGTAAAGTCTCGCATCGCCGAAGTCCGAGATGCCAGATGGTCTGATTTCTTAGAAGGACTCGCGCCCTCTCAAAGGTCTTACTACCGCTTAGCTCGTACTCTCAAATCGGATACGGTAGTAGCTATGCCCCCCCTCGTAGGCCCCTCAGGCCGACTCGCGGCGTTCGATGATGACGAAAAAGCAGAGCTGCTGGCCGATACATTGCAAATCCAGTGCACGCCCAGCACTCAATCCGTGGACCCTGTTCATGTAGAATTAGTAGACAGTGAGGTAGAACGCAGAGCCTCCTTGCCACCCTCGGATGCGTTACCACCCGTCACCCCGATGGAAGTTAAAGACTTGATCAAAGACCTACGTCCTCGCAAAGCTCCCGGTTCCGACGGTATATCTAACCGCGTTATTAAACTTCT